CCTTTCCTCTTCAACTTCGCTATTGACGAAGTCATGGAAATCGCGTTTACAGGACACGACTTAGAAGGTGTGGAGCTACTCCCATGAGAACGACTTCTTGATTTAGAGTATGCTGATGATATTGCCCTAATCTCTGACAGCTCACAAATGTGCCAAGCAGCACTGGACAGAGTAGCACTAGCTGTCTGTCACTTCGGGCTTTGCTTCGCACCCTCGAAGTGCAAAGCGTTCCTCCAAGATTGGTCTGGACCGTTAATGGGGATCAGCTAGAAGTCGTTCAAAAATTCAACTACCTGGGAAGTTGTATCAGCGCCCGTGGGATTGAAGATGAGATCACGAACCGTATAGCAAAAGCTGGGGCGCTTTTGCTAACGTTCGTCACTTATGGCACCGGCGCGACATCACTCTTGCCCTGAAGGGTAGAGTGTACAATGCAGCGGTACGTTCGACCCTACTGTACGGTTGTGAAACCTGGCCGCTTAAAGCAGCGGACCTGAAGAGGCTAGTTACGTTCGACTACCGGTGCCTTCGTAATTTAGCTCACATCTTGTGGGAACACCGCGTGAGTAACGAGCGTGTTCGACGCCTTGTTTATGGCACAGGAAAAGGAAATGAACCGCTCAGCACCGTTATTTCACACACCAGGCTCCGATGGCTCGGCCACGTGGTACGAATGCCGGTCCATCGGCTCCCGCGACGTGTGTTGTTTGCTGGCCGGAGGTGTGGATGTAAGAAGAGGAGGGGTGCCCAAGCGATGACTTGGTCGAGAGGAATGAAGGCCCTCACTTCGGAGCTGCCCTCGGTTGGAGCGTCTCGGCTCCCTGGTTGGGGTCCGAAAGACGATGATCACGTTTGGTTGGACACACTTGCTGACATGGCTAGGAGCCGACCTCAGTGGCGTTCGTGCTGTGAGTTTTTTTGTCCCACCCCTTTCCTCTTAGCTTCCCCCTCCAACCACGATCTCATTATTTAACCTCATATAATTTTGCATAGAAATTTTTTGATGCATAGTATCTGGCTGGTAGCTTACCGGCACGATGCCCATTCGTTACCGGTAGCTCAGCCGGCTTGCCCCAGTTGAATTCTTTTTTTCCCCATTTTTTCTTTGTATTGTGACACAGTAGCTGAGGTGTTCCCCACCTCTAGCTAACGTGTATGATGATGATGATTATGATGCACTATCTTCTTGTGACGCCTCTCGGATGGAATTTCTTCCGCTCAGCTTCCCAGGGATTTTACCTCCACTTGGTGCTCGTTAGATTTCAATTCGGACACTTGTAACAATCATTAATGGATAAATACTAATCGCCACTTGTTTCCGCGTCGGATATAAATGCATTTTAGAGGAAAACGATAATACGTAAAATGTTCCACTGTATATATTACAGCGTTTTCGCTGCGACGGCTTTGCTTCAGTTATCCTTTTCATTTGGTGATTCTGTACTTTTGCGGCTGCCCTCCTAATTTTTGGTTGACGAACGTAATAGCCACCGGGATTCGTCAGTAGTGCGCATTCTGTCTGACCCCATGTGGGTCTCGACCACACGACTGTTGTCAGCCTATGGTTAAATCTGCTGTTCTGGGGAGGCGTTGACAACCGCCCTAAGTTAATTGGCAACTTTAGCTTGATAGGTTCATCGATGGGTGAGGGGCTACCCTGTCCTCTGCACGGCAGTTACGTGCAAGTCAGGCTATATCATACCTAGCAACGAAGTCACGATGGTTGTTATATATATATATATATATATATATATCACGCACACACGTTAAGATCCGAACAAGCCATCAATCATGATTCACCGACAGTGGCAAAGCGCTGTGACCTCGCTGCATCAATACTACCGGTCCGAACCAGGCTCTGGTATTCGTTCCACCTACACAGAGTACTTAAAGCCACTTGTAACTGTCTACATCGCCACCTTGTGTTGAAGTGAAGAAATGGGCGTAGTAATCAACAACTATCTTTCGAGTCCAAGTACACAACGCCGCTGTATGGCTTTGGATGTCCACGTTGGACCGTGCATCTCAAGAGAAATCGTTCCGGAACATCCATTGAAGTGACTGGCGGTTAGCATGGTGATGTTGATGTTTTATGTTTTGAATCACGTGCTAGCCATAAGAGTGAGTGTAGCAGTATTTCCCGTTATTTATCCGCCGACTTTAACTTAGCTAAGCTTCTGAAAATCAGTGGTGTTGTTTGCATCAGTTAACTAAGTGCACCATTTCCTTGATAACTTCGAAAAAATGCTTGCTCTCTCTCTGTCATCTGCTATATGTCATTAGTATTCTATCGATTATGCTCTACGATTGGGTACAATTTCACTGTATAGTGATTAACAACTGACTTGGTGCCATCCACTATCTGTCTTACGCCTGTCTAAGACCTGAAATCCACATCTAAGTTACCTCTTATCGGGCCTATCTAATTCGTTTGTGTTTCGCAACTACTCTGCGTGTTGTCCACGACACTTTTGTGCTATTTGTGACTTATGTGACCTTGTCAAGTTAATTCTAGTACGGTGACATGCCAAAACAAACACTTAAGCTAGACTTTCCTAATCTGGGTAAGAAGTAATCCACATTATTTGGTTTGTTCAGTTCTACTACTCTGTTGCCTATTCCGTGTCCAATATTGTGTGCTTATTTTTCTCCAGATTCTGTTTTGTTGTTTGATATCCCCGGAGTGGCTGCGCTTGATGTGAATGTTGACAAGTTGCCTATCTGTCTATTACCCACCATCTTGTCTATACTGGCTCTAGAAAGCAGTTGGTTGTTGCTAGAGGGGACGGGGTGCACGGTTTTCGTGGCCGTACTAAGCTCGAAGAGCGGTTCTATGCACTCAATGTGGAGCGGACTACGGTCCAGGCACCGCCTTGTGTGCGCTTGATTTCCAACTACAGCGTGCTTGCGTTTGCCTGTGATGGAGTGTGCGGCGGCTCCGTTGATGAAACGTGGCTCCCATTCACGTGCATCCCGGTCTTATTCCTTCATTTCTACACCGGATATGGGGTGTATAGGTGGTGCAGCTCACGCCACCCATGGTTCCTGTGTAAGCACAGGCGTCCTGCGGCTGGCCACAGTGACAGGCACATCCCGACACGGTTGCCGCGAATCTATGCAAAAAAGCAGTGAAAAGACTGTAACCCTAGTTGCTTTTCATTCTCGTTAAGTTTCGCAATCGGTCATCACAGTCGGCCACTTATCACGGTTCGCACATCCATCACCATATATTCGATATCATCTCAAACGTGTGTAACCTCCGTCGTTGAATTCTGAGTGTATCACGATGCCCCATCCGGTCTACATCTTGAAGACAGCATGCATACAGACATTGAGGTAGACGTCGCTTTGTTGTCTACCGCAATGCAAATATGTGGAAACACACTTAAAAGCATCAACAGCTCTATTTTTGAACATTAGTTCAAAACGGACATCATGACCACAGAAACTTTCAAAGTTTTCTATGACCTGCTAAAATGCTGCACAAAAGGACTTAGAAAACACCTACTAAGAACGGTCAATACCATTGCGATGAGGTTAATTCAGCCTGTGCATACAGAGGACACTAGCGCAAGTCTTTTTGTTGACGTGGCCAAAATTTCACTATAATCGCGTTCACCCCGTTTGCAGGCGGTGACTCACTTGTCGGCCGGACGAACCGTCGTGTTTTGTACATCTATGTGTGTGCCTGTGCGTGACTATCCCCATCGATTGGAGCGTATGATTTATGATAAATGCCGGTAGTTTGAGCTTAACCTGGATCTCTTATCCGGTTTGATATATGTAGTAGCTCAAGGAGAATTATCGCAATTTCACTGAATTAAATGCTTACACCTCCATGTGCATATTCCACAAACGCTGCTTTTTTTGCTTTAGATATAAATGGCAGTTTCAGTACCTAACCTGAAACTTTGTAAAGCATGGTAAGAAAGAAAACATCTGAAGCGAACCCTGACGACGGCAGTTGACACCCCTTAATGAGGGACTTTGTTCCTTTATCCTCATCGCTTATTTTGCCTTCTTTATTCTGCCTTACTAAGCAGTGAGACGAATTTTCATCAACTCTCACTCGTCGTCGTCTCATATTCGCGCCCTGACTATTCAGACAAAACGTATCCGATTTATCTGAGCATTGTTTTCTTATGTTGCGGTAGCGCTGCACTCTTATCATGTTCATTATAACTCGTGAGCGTTTCAATCTATTCTCTGACTCACTTCCCAGTCCGACCTATACTCGGCGTACGTCAATATCCCAGCCCCCCCCCGCCATACTACCACTTGCGTTTGAATTGCGACGAAGCATCTGTACCAAATACCAGTTATTACCAATGTATTTTACTTTTGATGCAGTTACCACTAGTCCACAAGCAGGTTTTGATGAACTTAAACCTTTTTGACTATACTAATTTCTATCGTTCATCTTCTGTGACAAGGCGGGACACTTGTTCGCTAACCCACTCGGGATACATTCACCCCCCGTAAACTTATGTAATTAGGTTTTCAGACTATTATTCCCTTTGCAAACTTGAGGGGGGGACATTGTAAGCAGTAGTATGCGATACTGCCCTTAGATTTTTCCTGGCTCTGAAAGACACTTGGAAAGCTTCCTCTTCCTAACTCAATAAGTCACCGGCGAGCGTGAGTCGTGCCATTATATAGGTGCACATCACGATGCTCTTTTATCAAGCTTTAATCGCCATCTTACTTTCTGCTTGATATGCAGTGACATTTATTGATGATCTGTTGTTTAATGGGGCAATCACCAATTCATACGGACAACTTAAGATATACCCGCTTAATTGACAGTTCGCAGTTGCTTTTCCTCAGTCATATGATTGTATTACTTCGGTTTACCACTATCACTCAGCTAATGCTTCTACGGCTTCCGATTTTATGTTAAATTCATTTTTCCAATAGACTCACTTTTCGCATGGATCAAGAATATGCGCCCTTCATTCACCTGAAATTCATTAGCTTTGTGTGGTTTCGTTTTTACCTAGGTTCTCAATTTTCTCTACGAATGCGGTTCATTGATCACGTTTATGATGACCAATTTGTGGAGGAGCTGACGCTAAAAATTGTACTTCCTGAAATGGTGTATGATATCCAGTTTACTCCACCTTTCCCGGTCCAAGAAGAGCCCCGAGAGCTTTTGAAAACGTACCTGGATACGGTGGGCCGCACTGTTCTAGTCTTCAAAGCACGCAATTTGGTCGTGGAACACATATCCGATTTCGTCGTAAGTATTCCTCTCCTAGAACTGTTCACTCTTGTTTTTCGAACGATGACGTTACTACTGTAGCCTGTAATTCCGAAATCTGTGTTGCGAACTATTTATAGTACCTGGATTGTTAGGATGCACGGCTGCGTCATGCTGACTTTCACGATCTACCCTCGGTTTCCTGGTTCTTAGTACCCTCAGATTAACCTTAGCACAGTTTATGCTCATTCTTGTTCCATGTGGTCAACTACTATACGCCTCACCAACTTGATTCCAGTTTTTTTGGTCTAGGTTCTATCCTAAGGACAATTGTTTCTTCTACCTCTTGCTTGTTTGCTTCGGTGCCACCCGGTGTCATCCGGTTGCTTCAATCAAATTGGTTTTACTTATTTATTGATTCTGCTCTTTCTGCAGCACTGTTCACAATGTTTAATATTGTGATGCCTACTGAGCGGACATTCTCTACCATTTGGGGAACTTGACTTTGTCGGTCTACCGGCACCGCCGCACAATAGATGGAAACAGGAAGTTCCCCGAGTGATATTCTTTCCATCACAAGGACCGATTTTGTAGTGGATCGGGTGTCCGGCTTACATTATTTGTCTCCTGTGTCCTTACTCTCAATTTAGTTGATGCAGCTTGGGGGTATCTTGCTCCGCGCACAACCGCTCGCGTTTTCAAGGCATGGAGACAGTGGCACAAAATGCTAGTGGCACTGCTGTCATCATTTTTCTTTCAATCGAAGTCTTCCGATAACCCTTCCTTCCCACTGTTGCCACCACTTTTTACACACCGCCGTGAGGTCGGGGTTTAATACGACACACTGCTTATATCTGCCGAGCCACACAGGATCCCCTGTCCCGTTATCATACCCAGACACTCGTACCTGACTGACCGATATTGTTCATCTAGGCTCGATTTCTCGATACCTTACATTGATGGTGAGATTGCACTTAGCACTTCTTCTTTACAAAATGATTAGTCTAATTTACTCCCGTATTTGCCGCTTTATCCAGATATGTTATGCAACGGTTGCGTTAGTTGGGTATCTGAGCCTCTTTCTTCCACCCTTCGCACGGCTGAACATTATTCGAAGCTTCCTAAAGCCATTCTACGCATTTCATTGATGCCATGTTGCGTCACCTAACAGCAGGGCTACTTTTGCTTAGGGTATGTAAAAGCTATATTTTCTGCTTATTATCTGGATTTGAATAATTTTCCCCTTCCTTCTCCGTGGTTATGGCGTTCCAGCGGACCTCAAAATTAATCCACGGTGGTTTGGTCGCGAGTCTGTCGCCCACCACCGTTGGCCGATGTCAAGTTGCCTTCGCATTACTCTCCGGTTCATCATAATGCCTAATGCATCGAGGGCTGCATGTATAAACGACTAAGGAACCGGTCCACTTTCGCTCCCAACATCCACCACCACCGTCTTGGTGGTCAGTCGATTTCCGTTTCTCTTCGTTAGTTCAACTATTTTCCATTACTTGAGGACTCCATGAAAGCTGTGTGTTTCTTCTCTTGTTCATCTACCACGAGTTATCCAGTCTGAACTTTCCGTTCTTGTAGCTATCTTCTATCAAAGGAGAAACGAACCAGTCTGACGACACGTCGTCATTACTTTTGGTTCCTGAAGCCGTCCGTCTGAATTACATTTTAGCCTTGATAACTGATCTTCGAGAACCTCGTTCAGTTAGTCACTTGGCATGCATATACACGAAACGAAACGGAGTTGCGTCGGTCGTTGTCTGTTCGTCTTTGACTTAGTTCCGAATTCCGGATGCCGGATAGGTTTTTCCTGGTGGCCTGGCTTCGTGTCGCTAGATGCTGACAGTCGTATCAACAATTACTACAGTTGCAGTGACCAACACTCACATGCTCCACCTAACATGTAACCCAAATAGCTCCCATCCCTCTATCCTTCACACACTGGTTTCCAACCATTAGTAGTCTTCTCCAGGAAATACAACACATGGTCACCTCAATTAATAATCTAACAGTCAAACTGGATTTCCAGACTCCGTCACCGATGCCATTTCCCTACTTTCACATTTGGTTATCAAATGAAAGATGCTGCTTTTCTAAAGGTGAATTTAGGGAGCACCTTGTGTGGTTGGGTTGCCACTCGCAACCTCTATTAAAACCTCGGCTCACTTTGAGGTAAACCTCGGTCATTCCGATCTCGAGGACCATATCCTGAATGGATATATTTGGGTGTTGCTCTTCCCAACCTTGGCACACCACATCTCTTTTTGGGGTAAATGTAGTAAGCCGCACCGTTTGGAAGACAGCAATATCTGTTAAAATAAGATGAATTTTTATTTTATTCTCACCTGGCTCTGCGCGGGCCTGAGCAAGTTGATCTGGCAGCACAGGGGTCTCTACGATTTCTTCACTTTCTGTTAGGAGGGTGGTAAATTTTCCTATCTCTTCCATAGGTGCATTAGATGTTTGTACGACCATACACCGGCCAGCGAATTGTTCCGTTCGTGCTGTACCGATATTATTACTTATAGTATTGACTAAGATGCTGCCAACAGTGTTTTCTAACTGGTTGGTTGCATGCAGGCGTGTGGCCGTTGATAAAAGGCCCTCAAATTCAATTGAGTAACCCAATCGTGCACGATGACCACCGCCCATATAAGCCATGTAATAGGGAGATTTGGCTAGCGTAGATGAGGGAATTATGTGGTTGACAAAACATAGGGCCATTCCTCCTGGGGCTGTGTTATCATCATATGTATTTCTTGATCTGCCTGTCAGGTACGCAGACCCAACATGGTAATGTACATCGTCTTTCCTGATCTGACAGTGCAGCCGGAATGTTTCGATAATTATTTTGATCTGACTGCGCATGAGAAAAGCTCGCAGCGTACTATTCATCAGAATTGTAAACACCTGGTTACAAAATGCCAGCTTGTGGCATCCAGCCAGGAGAGTTTGTAACCTAACTTTGATGTCATCATGCCCTGAGAAGTTGAACTTGGTTCTGCCAATTGTAACTGCTTGCCTCACGGGCTTTTCGAATTTCTCCAAAACCTTCAATGTAGACGCCCAGTCGCCATAAGTATGAATTGCCTCCTTAGTTACTGATAGCTTGGTCTCATCATTTATAGCTGTTTGTGCTTTTTGAAGTGCAGAAGGCAGCGGGTTGTTGCCGATCGATGTATGGTGATTGGTGTTCCAGAAATTAACTTTGGGCATCAGGACCATAGGAATCAACAAATATAATACATCCACATTCTCCGTTATCAAGCTTTTGGTTTTTGCCCTTAACTGCATCTACAGTGACAATGTAGATGGATGTGGCAATAATTTAGTTTTACATAAATGGACGCCATTCCATTTCAAACCCCCAACCTGGAGGACCAGGAGACTGAGTTTGTCTGACCTCTCACCATTGGCCAACTTGGTAGGAGTAGCTCTCAAGGTGCCCGGAAAAATCACCCAGTATAGCTCAATGGGTCAATGAGATACGTAAACCGTCGCACCACGTTAAGGTCCAGCAGTTCGGAGGTGTAAAGGACATAATGGAGAAACAGTGGCGCACTGTTGCGGACACACGGTTTAGTAAAACATGCGTACAAAAGTACCAGTGTTTTGTCGAAATTTGAAGCAGATAATCGGGGACCCTATCCCGTTTACTCTTTCCAGTACAGCAGCTCTCGTTGCACTGACTCACAATCATCTTTTTTCGCACCTTGTTTCCGATTATTCTATGCTGTGTTCGCGACATCCTCTTATGTTGTCATACTAAGAGGTGCTTGACAATCGTAATTGGTTTTGTCTATACATTCATTACTTTATGTGCTTTCATTGACAATTATAAATCACCTGATTACCAAACCCTGTGCGCATGTTTTACTAAACCGTGTGTCCGCAACAGTGCGCCACTGTTTCTCCATTATGTTAACGTCACCGGATTGTCTTTAGGCGGACGAATTTTCGCGACCAGTGTTATACCTCCCCTAGCTGTTGAGAGCAGCGTATGAGTACTCGATCTCCCCCACTTTGTAAAGTGTTTGCTCGTCACGTTCGTTGATTTCTTGTTCTTATAGCGGTGGTAAGAAAAACACCACTCCCCGATGTTTTATGAGTATGCCCCACTTACCGCATCTTCATCCCGTCGTCTTTTATGCTTCCCCGCGTACGTGTTTTCTGTTTCCTCACATTTGTGATTAGCTTGTATTGACACCGAATCTTATGCCTACTAGCTTTTCTCTCACTCGGTGTATTTCGCTCGTTCGTCAGACACCTTATCGAGCTTTCGCTTTTGAACTGACCAGCCTTGATTTGATCGAATGCCAGTCTTCCTGCACAGTCTGTGTATTTGCCCTAATTTGAATTATTCGATTGATTCGTACTCATGGACGGTTTTTTGCCGGTTCGGCTTGCAGTGAGTAATGTTGTTCGTACACGGATTGCCGTTCATGTTCTCAATACCGTTAGTGGGCGGGAGCAGTCGTGGGCCAACACAATAATTGTCCTTGTACATGCTCTCACCGAGCTATTTTCAGCTTCCAACCCCATTTTCGCCTCCGTGACCTAGTTTCATCCGTCGCGAGGCTTCTTGACTAGCTTTGTACGCATCCTGCACCCTCGTTATTGTTTCATGTGTACATTAACATACCTTTTGATCTCAGTCGTATCCGCTCTCAATCGCAACAATTGTTGTCCCCAGAATCAGTGTAGTTTAGAACAGGAAATTCTCGTTGTAATCGCCAACGAAAATTCAGGAGACTTAAATTGTGAGATGACTCAGTCATTTCGTGCAATCTCATCATTCACAATCATGCAAAATTATAGATGTACAAAACGTGGTTTTATGAAATTGATAGCTGGCCAATGGTTGGTCAATCGGCGCACCTCGCACTATCACGGTCAGTTGTTTCTGTACATAAAACAGTATCCATTCTCGATCGATGACATTGGCTTCTAATAGCCTGCGAATCTAGGGTCTCAGATTGCGCATCAGGATGGTTAATAAGCCATCGGGATTGACACGGGGACAATCATTGCGCGCGACAAAACTGTCCCTGCAGCTACAGGGGAATTTGTATAAGCAATGGGGTATGCACTACCTCCTTATCAGTGTCTTGATGAAACACATAAGCAGAGGTCCCGTTGATGTGAGCAACCGTAGTTCAGCTGCATTGTGCGTCCTTTTCATTGAAGCACTAGTACGTTTCGCAGTGATCTTCATCCCATGATTACCTTTGAATAGTAGTTCGATAAAGATCGACTTCTGCAGTTGGCATGGCCTTCCTTCACTTTCGTTGCTTGCTAATGAGATGTCCACTTCTAGAAGTCTAAAAGATTTTGGAGAAGGTACAGCCAAGCATAGTGTGACAACCAGAAAATGTTTTTCGATGCAGATAAATACTGAGTCTTAGGGTATTGATGCAGGATTGATGTGGACACCTTATACCTCTACCGAAAGGTAAGTACATTCCGCAGAACAATGTGAGACTTAAGTACTCATTTTTCAAGCACCCACGACTTCGGGGTACAGATTGAATTCACAGGGGCCAAAGAACGCAATACAGCAAGGTTAATTTTCAAATCACTCATACTGCATTCCTCCGAGGTTCGTGTGTTTAAGATCAGTATGCGCATCTGTTAGAATACTGTCCGATGATGTTTACCAGTTGTGAGAAATACCATCGTTTGTAGCTAGAAAAATTGCATCATCGACTCAGCAGAGCCCTATTTAGTGGGTTGCCAACGCCACACTATTCGAAGCGCTGTATACTGTTTAAATTGGAGTGTTTGTGCCCATGGATACTAAATTGCGCTTGTAGTTTCTGTTTTACCTGGTACACAAATGCATATCTGCTCGGCACAGTAGCATCCCCTTCAGTCGGAATGGAAAATGCGACATTAGGTTCCACATGTAGAACTAAAACAAACGTGCACAGAAATTTTTACCTGACAAATTACTCGGATATCTGGAATAGGCTACCTACTGGATTTGGACTCCATGAGCCCAAACAATCATTTTGAATGATACCTCACTATGTTTCAAGTCAAAACTGGTGAAACTCGACTGTAACGTGGGAACAATGCATGAAGGAGTTGAAGTATAGGCACACAATAACAACATCGCATGACCGTATGTGCAAACTATCTGAATAGTATCGTTTTCATTTCCTTGAACTCTCTTTGCTTTCTGCCCCTTCTAAGATCGAGTTACCTTTCGTACTACCATGCTGACCTGACAGTTCCTTTCTAGCTTTAACTTATTTTTACATTGCTGGTATCACTTCTTTCCCGGTGCAAGCAACTCCGATACTCGTAGCAGTTCTCAGTGCTCTGCGAAGCCAATTTCCGATATCAATTATTGTGCTACCCGATTGCCTGCAGTTGGTGGATCTATCTCAAAATCCTTTAGAGAGCTGTCTTTTTATTTTTTATGTATTTCCTATGTACAAGCTGGAATTGAAACCGTCTGATATATTCGTTTCTTGCTATCTTTACTTCAATATGTTCCAATATTTCTTTTTTCCCATTCTTGGACACGACTGAGCCGATCTCCGGAGGTAACAGAGTAAAGCTTCCGAAATCGTCAATACAGTCGCGCGAGGGGAATTGCCACAGACCTACTGGCGAGTAAAAAAGATGCAAGACACGAAAGAATCGAATGTTGAAACGGCCTGAATGGTTCAAAGACATAATAATAATAATAATAATAATAATAATAATAATAATAATAATAATAATATTTTATTTCTCTCTCTACATAACAACGGTCTTAAAGATGTGCTAATACAGTGATGGCTTACTTGCTGTTATACCACACTGGTACAAAACTAGATAGGAGTCGTGGACATGCGGATGGAATCTTTCGAGTGCTTACTCCGAATGGGAACAGGTCCCCAGGGGACGGTTCCACGGAAAGCCGTATTACTTTACTTGAACTTTTGCAATAACCATTTTCATTCTATTTCCAACATATTCGACTGATCGAATACCCCGAAAATTTCTCCGGGAACTGCTTTTGAAAATTTAAACGGATGTCTCTTTTACGATCCTGTTCTAACCAATCATCAGGTCATCTAGTTGGACTATTTCTCCCACGATTGAAAGATATACCACCTATAATCTTCATAGTGAACTGTACCTTGACTACGTGACGAAGTCGCCCTTTTTCCGACCTGTTATTCGCCTCAGCCCGAAACTGAATGCGTACCACGGCGATCCTCAACAATGGATGCATAAACACAGTCATAGTTTTGTTCCATGAAACTTTACACCTTTCTCTGCTTTCTTCAGCAATTACATCTACCCACTAAATATCCTTTAGATACGCGATTTTTAATTCCCTTTACCCACTTGTACTTCACTCTCTTTTTGCCTAGACGTCTTCCATATGGATAAGTGACTTTTCTGGCGAACCTATTTTCCTCCATTTCCATACTATCCATTCTGGATTCTATCTCGTAGGCTGAGGATCTGCAAAGTAATACGACCTCGTTTCGTCAATGAGTGGTCTTCACTCTTGGTGTCACACGACTTGGTCGACAAGGGGTTTCCGTTCAAACTTGCCCTCTAATTGTGTTAACACCGAAAGGCTGCCGTACCTACCCATGCAACTCAACTCTGATCTATCAGCCATTACCCGAGAGGATTGCGTGCTTACTTTGTAATCCGGAGCAATCCGCGAAAGTGTGGGTGACTTCGCGGTATACCCAGCCGACGCACGGTAGCGAAGCACCGGTACGGTTTCCCCGGGGTACTGCTGCTGTCTTTTCAAACTATACTGTAGCCGTTTACCCTGCAGCATTTTTCCGTAATCATTATGCTGTTGATTGAGAAGCCACTCAACTGGATTGAGAACACCACCCGCAAAGCACGTTTCTTTTTAGCAACCTACAGTATAATGATTACTGAGGGTTTTCTAGCATGACACATACAACGTAACGCGCACGGTGATGATTACGTATGTTGGCTTTTTCGAAACAGCAGTGCGTACATATCAACATTTCTGCAGCGCCAGTTGCTGCGATCTGCTCGAGCCCGTCACCACTGCACCTTTGTACTGATATACACGCAACAAAACTGGTGTGACCTCTTATTGGTCCAGCTACTTATCCACACAATGGTCTACTTGTCTTTCTAGGAAACACGGCACATCTGGTATCTTCACCTGCTAATTACTAGTCGGACCACGCTGCTTCTTGAGGGGGGGGGTTCCATTTATTTTCCTTTACTTTTCTCATCGAGCGTTAATATACAGTTGCTATTTTTATGGTTTTTGCCACCATCGAGGTTTTCTCATATATATCTGCACAACCTCAACATGGACATGCTTCTTCCGTGTCAGAAGCCTCTTCCAACCATTACGCTATGTGCTCCTACCACCTCTATATATATTCAATCGATTGCTGCCAACATGTCTTTATCACCAATCTACTGACGCGCAAGGGTCCGCCGTTTTTCTCCTGCACACCACGTGGTATATGTTTCTTGTAAGGTGTTCTATTTCATTGTTCCGTTTGTGCCTTAGCTTAGCTGACAATGACTTACCACTGTTTTACGCCATTCCTTTGTTCAGCTGGATTACCGGTTCCACACCTTCCTGATGCTTCGCGAACCGTTAATGTTGGTCACTGCTTTTTGCGTCATTTTCATCTGCGTCCTTATCTACGTTCGGCTGGACTTCTCCATATTTCGAGTGAGTTCATCTAATCCTATTGCCTAATTGGTTATTTATCAACATTTCTGGGCTACCTTAGAGTTGGTTTTAAAACAATGTCTCAAGACGCTACTGTTTGTATTTTCCGACTCATCTATTACTACTCTTTTAAAGTGAGGTCCGCCGCGTTCACATGTCAGCCAAGGCTACACACTGCTCGTTCTTGTTGATACGTAATCCATGACTTCCAAAATTCGGGCTACTGGGGTTGAACCGGGCGTAATTGCCAACGCTAATCGGCTTGCATCAACCCCGAATTCCAATCATCTGTACGGCACACAGTTTTTATTTCAAATTTGTTATACCTCGCTTTAACCAGGCCCCACCAGACATCAAGGTGTTTCTCGTGCAACCTGATCACGTTACTATCAATCTCCACAAATAGCCCATTTAGTCTAATTCTACTAGGCGTTTGGGTGCATCTGCATTGATTTCAAACACTTCTTTGTAACTGCACTGGTGCTGCTTATTCTCACGACCAGGGTAACCCACCCGATCTTTGGTTTCTGGTTTGTCATTTGAACTAACGATCCACGCATTCAAGGTACTGAGCCCCCCTTTTTTAAACGTGTTCATCTCATAGTAATAAGTTTTGTACCAAGTGAGTGGTATTCTATGTCGTTTGACCATCTGGTTCAAAACACCCTAGTAATGAGAGGCATTTCGAGCTGGTTCTCTTCATTAAATGGGTCATGTTGCTTCCACTCAATGATTGATTCCAGAACGACCGGAGTCTATGCAACAATATTAGGCTAGTTTTCCTGGGGTCGCACAAAGACGTAGACGCGTCGCAAAATTTTGTATACTGAAGAGACTCGTTGCTTACTTAACGTCCTCCCGAAGTATTTAACTGCGCAACGCTTCGACAGCTGATAGAACTACCGACGAAAGTGTATGGCTGATCTTATTGACTTAGAAGTTCGACTTTTTGGTTCCGCCACTACTACTAGCTGAACTAGCTGAAATCATCCTAAAGGATCCACCTTCTCACCCAATGAATCAAATAAATGAAGTCAGGTTTATTCCCGCTCAGGCGACAAGTGCGTTGAGTACATTCGTACCTTGCTACTTAACTACTCCGTGTCGCTCATTCTTACCACGATCGTCTTCCATGATAACCGCTTTCCACTAAGTTTATCGGACCTAGTTGTGATTGATGACTTATCTTACCGATAACTATACCAGTAACTCTCTCGTTTATTCTACATTCGACTCATCTTGCTCGTGCGAAGTGTCATGAGCTGGTGTTCCTGAGTTCACCCCTGCATTTCAGTTTATATCTTTCTGGTGTTTACAAATTCTTGTTTAGCGGCAAGTTTTGCCTTCACTCGATTTAATGTATCATTTCCACGTACATTTCAGTTGGCTTCCTCCTCCGACCCAATTTGATCGTATATTCTGTAGATTAAGCTGTCTGCTTACAGGCCTTAGTTACTCTGAGTTTCCTGATGTTGTATCAGCTCATTCGCTTCCGCACTACTTATTTGATCTCTGTTGTGCTAGTGCATTTTGGGGATGACCATGAAGTCCTCTTTATATGTTTTATTGTTTGAACTATGACGTATAGCTAGGTTTTGAATCGGCCGTTGTCTTTTTTATCTAACATCATTTTTACTTTCGCTACTACTGATAAATAAGTTTTGTAGGAATATTTTGCCAACGTTTATGTCCAAGATTTTTTCTAGGTCACAAACACAGTCTTGTTTTCCATATTTTGATTACTAAGTCGAGATGTCGCGCACTGTTCGCGATTTGTTGTTGCAACAAACTATTAGTCCAGTTGAAACCAATTATAAGGAAATGTCTTCGGAAAATTGCTCTGTTGGCTGGAAAAAACGAGGTTCTGTTTAGCAATTTGCGCTCGGTGCTCAAGTATGCAGCTCTTTTTGCCTTTCCTTTTTTCATTTAGAAAATTTTACATGTTTTGAAATGTCATTTTGCTTCATCCGCAATTGATACTGTCAAGCGCTGAAAATGCACCCACCCGGGTACCATAAAACCGACCTTGACATGGCTAAACCTGCAACTGTGCTCTGTTTCATTCGTCAGGATGAACCGCTCATTGTGGAACTGTTCATTAGCACTCGGGACGTTTACGCCAACTACAGGGTATTTGTTTAACACCGCTAGTCACCTAATGTGCTGACTTCGCTATAGCTCACCTTTCAACGAAAATCCACAATTAGAGCAAAAATTAAGTTTTCCGCCTGGATGGGGCTTCTTAACTACATTTCTACTATGCGCCTATTACTAGAGCAGCATTACACGTGCCACAAACCCACCATAATTATTCTCCTATATTTATGAGCTCTTATTCCACTCAATCGATCATCTTGTACTTTTCGATGTATCTGTCTGGAAGCGGGTTTATATGAAATAGGTAAATAATATTACAGAGTAGTAGTATGTTTATTGCTTTTTGCGAACATTCGTTGCAGCTAGACTCAGTCAGACAGCGACCGCATATCCAGGAAAGCGCTAGACGGCAGTTTCGTCTTATTGGGACTCGTCAGTAGCGTGCACCCGCCGAACCCTGCCGGATTCGAACCCACAATCTTACTCTTGCGAGCCAGCGACTTATGCCACAGCCACTTATGACGGCACCGAAACGCCATGGCTGATATCAAACTGTGGTATAGCGCGCTCACCCCCCCCCCCCCACTGTCATGCATGTTATAAACACGACGAAGGCAAGGCTGGCCCCCCAGAACAAGGACTTCCTCTGCAAGCCGCCACTAATCGAGGTAGCATATGAGCTGCCAATGTGAATGCTGATTATTTGTAAGTGGCAAGGGGATTTGTTGGATATTTGTGAATTTTCGTCCCAGTCTCAGACAGACAGCCACCACACATCCATGAAAGCGCTAGACGGCCGTTTCGTCCTATTGGGGCACAATAATCAGTAGCGCGAACCCGCCGAATCCTGCCGGATTCGAACCCACGACCTTACTCTTGCGAGCCAGCGTTTTCTGCCACTGAGCCATGGGCGACGGCAGCGAACTGCCATGACTGATAACTAACTACGATATAGCGGGGCTTATCTTCCACTGCCATACATGTCTTGACCGTGCAGTGGACAGGGCTGACCCCCATGTGCACACTTTACACTCCCTGTACCCGAACACATCTGGTCTACGGCGGGTTACTGATGGTTTATCTTACGCTACCGATTATAACTAAATGGATATACTTCTTGTTGGACGGTATACGTTCCTTTTTACAGAAAGATTATTTGTGCAACGAGTTTCGTCTACATTGCATTCATAAATCCTATTTTCAATATGCCTCAGTAATGAAGTGGTCTCCGGAATAGGTAATACATTACCGATTATTGAAAATCTAGCCTTGACCTATGTTTTTCGGGCCGGATTCCATGAGCCTACTCGCAGATTGCTGAAACCCTAAAAGTTTGATCACATTTGGCTCATATACATGTAGACAGGCTCTTGCTGATCCTTAATTGCGATTGTAAGTCCATTTCACAGATGGGTGTACCACACTAAGAAAAAAATTAACCCGATATTTTTCTTGGTCCTCGGTAAGACATTTACCATTACGAGTGGAATAGGTTAAGCCATTTTGTAAAGCGACAGCCGAACTGGTTGGGAAGACTCATATTGTACTGTAATTGGGTTGCTGTTCAGTCGTCGAAACCAGGGGATCAGGCTTTAGGTAAGACCATCCTTTTCTTTACTTTACCGCTGATGATGATAGTGAATGAGCACTGGAAATTTTCCAAATCATTTCCATCTTGCTATGTATGATGGTGCATTAAAAGGACAGAGCAATCCTTTTCCGGATACGCAGTACACAGATTAGATACTGATGACCTGGCAATAAAATGTGAACTGCGATCCATTCAGAACATTGTTCGGTGATTTCACCTCACTGAACTCTATAACTGCAGCCCAGCACAGCTCACAATTCATTGGGATCGTTATACTCTGACTGTAAGTATGGAAATCATTTGTTGTCACTGGAGGGTGATGATGATTTTCCACGACTACAAATGTGGTTTAAAGCAGCACCAGTGTTGAGCGATTTCGTCCTGCGTTTGGTGATGATGCGCTTTCAAGAACCACCCTGTTTGAATGGTTTGCGAAATTCAAACTTGGCAGGCGGTCTCTGGATGAGGAGACACGATCTGGTCGACCTGTGTAGGCCACCACTGCATACAACATTGATGCTGTACAAGCAATGCTGGTGATGGGCGCGCAGGTGACTGTGTTGCAGCTGGGGTAAACCATCGAATCTCATCGGGATCAATCCGCACCATCCTAAGTGAGAACCTCGGCCTCAACAAGATTTACGCACACTGAGTACCCCATCAGCTCAGTAAGGACCAGAGAGCATCTCGAGTGAATTGGTGCCGCACCATGCTTGCCACGTTTGGTGGTGGACGTTCCAATGTTGTTTGGCAGATCCTCAGTGGTGATGAGATCAGGGCGTACGGTTTCGACCCAGACCAAGCAACCATCGGCTCAGTGAACGGCCGTTGGTGGGACGTTGCCTCAGAAATTCCGGCGTTAGTACAGTGTGTCAAATACCGGTTATATGGCTACTCTACTGCTCGTACGGCAACACACAGTCACCAGAGGCTGGTATGCCACCCACTATCTGCCGCAAGTGCTGGAAGCTGTAGCCAGGCATCGTCCAAGGACTAGAGTACGTTGAACCTTGCTGTACCATGACAACGCACCTGCACGCAGGTTCCATATCCTCATAGATTTTCTGGCTAGAGAACCCATCCAGAGGGTTGGTCATTTGCTCTCTCATTCACGCTTGGCTCTATGTGACTTTTGTGTTCCCAAATGTCAAGCTCATGATGCGTGGAGTCCGCTACGAGTCCCCAGAATTTGCAGTAGAGGCCTTTATTGAGCTGCTTGAAGTGTTACCACTGCGGCATGGTCTAACTGCCTCCAAACGCTTTGAGTGCACGGAGCTGTGCATGAACGTTGGTGGTGAGAACTTCGAAAAAA